TATTCTAGTTAGTGACGTAATAGAAAAAATTATATTATTATATCGATATAAATTTATATCGATATAATAATATAATTTTTATACTTTATAAGTATTTATACTTAATGAACATGTAATGTAAAGTAATTATTATTATTCTATTAATAGAATTTTAGATAACACATTGGCGTTAGAATTTTCGCTATGTTGACGCTCTAACCACGTAACATAGTACGAGAAATTGATGTATAACCCTGCCACTTCACGCGCAAATGTGTGCGTATCGTGGTAGCTTCCGCCTTGCTATTTGTAGTAGTAGTAGTAGTAGGTAAATAACTTTCGACCGTTGTGTGGAGTGTCCGGGGTATGCTCGTGGACTTGGCTCTTCGCGATCCCCCGCTATTCCGGGCGCATTGTTGCCAAATCTTCCCATTGAGACGGCTCGATGATACAAACCACTTAACACTAATATTAGTGGGGTACAAAATTATACGCAACAGACACTGTTGGAAACATGCAATTCACAACAGTGCCTCATTTACGATCAGTCGAGCCTATCTGCTATCGAGCGTAGGACTGTTGTTGGGACTGGCCCGCATCCGGCGCACCAAAGACGTGCTTCGTCGGCGTTTATTCTATGGTAACTGTATGGTTATATAAAAAACAGAACGTCACCTGTGGGCATGCAAACAGCTACGCCAACCTGGAAGAACAGAAAAAACAACAGTAATCTACATGCTAAATCATAGTTTCCCAGAGTGATTTCTACTGGTCCCCAGTGGGAGCTGCAGAGTCGTAGGGGCCTCGGAAGCAATTGGGGCGTTGATTTTGTCCAGGGCCTGCACCGCATTTGAAAAAAAAAACTGAATTATCTGTTATAAACTACACTTTATTATTACTTACCCATTTCTGCCGCCAAGCAGTAATGTCAGCATAATCTGTGTTCCGGTTTTGAAGGGTAAGGGTGCTGGTGAAATTATAGGCACATGGGACTTGTCAACTTATGTCTCAGGGTGACGGGCGTAGTGGTAGAGCCCCTCCATCTTTGCAATTGAAAGCTCTGAGTGGCACTGTAACTGTTATGGACAGGCGTGTAGCTTACCATCAGACGCGCGACTTGTTCGTCCCGTCTTGATGTTATAAAAAAAGCAAATATTTCTTTTCACTTCAGCGCCCACTGGAGACCACTTTGGGAAACAATGCTGTAAGTGCTAAATATTACGGGCTTGTGACGTGGCAAATAAGGCTTGTAAATCTTTGATACTTTGGATTATTAACTGAACTACAGATCGAAACAGATAGATTAACATTACAGACGCAGGCTGTCAGATTGATGGAATTTTTGTTTGTATTCGATTTCCTTTATTTTTCCATCCTCCAAGATTCGATTATATTAATAATTATAACATTCGGCTTTATTATAGAGTACTATTTGTTTCTGCACGTTAACATTAATTATGGAACTTATTATTTTTTTAATTTCAGTTACCGACTTAGATGGGCTGCGTTTGGCAAGTTAGATGTCATCCTTAAAACAGACAAGGTTCCACATTGTCTGAAGACCCGCTTGTTTAACAGTGGAGCTCGAATTGAAATTTTTCGGGTACTAATAAGGTTCATTTTGCTTGGGTCGAACGGCAGGGACGCTGGCTTTATCTCAGAATTCATTTTTTTACAAACGAAATTAGATGTAGTCAGTCACTTATCTCTCAAAGATACTCCCCGCAGTGGGCCCAAGCCCAGATTGTAAATTGCCTGCACATTTCTGCAGTACGAAAATTCAAAGCAAAATACCGTATGGCATTAAACTAATTTTCAGTCAGTTGTGCTTGTGACCTAACTAGCTAACCTAACCTAGGACAATAAATCTAAAGTTAAACTCACCAAAAACATTAAAATAATTAAAGTTTTCATTTCAGTGCCACTTCACGCAATGTCTGAATGGAAAAAGTCAATCGACAACTGTTCAAATGTTTTTATACAAATTGAAACATCTAGAAATGTCTAAAGGTGAATATTTTCTTGTTTACACAAACTGACGCAAATACGCTTAGTGCCTTTATAGAAAGATGGGCGTTAATAACAAGCTATTCTTTATGTTTATTTCAAAGGAACAATGGTGCCGCAAACCGTCAATGTTTATTCATGATCCGATATTTATAGTTAGGTTGTATTCATTTTAAACATCTTATACTTACATTAAATAGTATTTTATGTAATTAATGATGAGGGTTGCCTAATGAGGGTTCCTAAGGCCGAGTACCGTGTTTAAGTATATAATAGATACGAGATATTTTGACCTAATTATGTCTTGTGATGATTGCATACCGTACTTTTTCTACGAGTAAATAAAATAATGAAACACAATCAATATTTAATCTAACTATACAGGGTTATTTGTATAATACTACCAACCTCACGGGCTATATTATAGAGATGCCACGAATAGTGATTTGGCTGAATATTCGGCTGCCGAATGTTCGGCGTAAGATCTGTTATATTTCACACGTGACCTGGGGCCTTACCATGAACACTTATTACGATTCTGTTTAGGATCTAAAATGAATCGTAGGGAGACAGCGCTACATGAAATGTATATCACCATCTCGCTTTTTTGTCGTTATGTACCTATACTGAACTATAATAAGAGTTCATGGTAAGGCCCCTGTTACGACCTGTCTAATCGCCCTGCGTGCGGAGGTAACGGGGGTGGGGTGTTTCTGTAAAAAATGATAGAATCAATACACAACAGTTTCTGCACTTTTTTTTTTTGAAGAAGTCGCTGCAGATAATTTGCAAAAAGATGAGATTTATTTTTATTTGAAAACTGTTCGGCTCAATCGGACGGCAGAGCCTTACAAATAAATGCAGTAGCCAATGCTGTCAAAATTTGCTAAGATTTATCTATCGCCTCATGGCAGTAGTGTTTATAGTTGAGGCTATTTTCAGAAGCAGGAATTGAACCAGCCAAAGCTGAACAAATTGTTTTCATTCATCACAACCTGCCACTGATTGGTTTTAAGTATTAAACATTGACTTACAAATAAACGGACGACGGGTCTAATACAAAAACCACGAAAAAAATGTTCCAAGTCAACCTATTTAAACGTAGTGACATGTAAAGGAATATGAAAAAGCTAAAACGTTGAATTTAAATTGTAATGTCATCGCAGTACTGTCTAATTTTGCTTGCTTCGCTGTCAGTCGAACAAACGAAGACTACAGCGTGAATGACGCTCTGTATACGATTTTAACGCCCTATAAGTTCGGACACTTTTTAGCGCGGACCCGACGTCCATATAATTGTAAGTCAATGGTATTAAAGCAATAATTTGTGATTAAAATATTTACATGATACATTTTGAATAGGTAATACGAGCTTTTTTTCATTATTTAATATTAGGTATTCGGCCGAATAGTCTTAGTATTCGGCCGAATACCGAATATCTCTCTCGTGCCTTGGAAATACAGTTTTCAATACAAGCACTCGCGTTAAACAACAACCAACAAACAAAAGAAAGCGACAAGCCTCCCCAATGCAGCGGGTGCGCGCCAGCACCAACAGCCTCCTAACTACAGTAGCAAATAGAGTTGCTGGTCCTTTCAATGAACGTCTCAACTCGTTGCATGTAGTGCCCTCTAAGTGGGCTGTAAAACAAAAGTACTCGTAAATATGTACATAAGTAAATGTCATGTAATAAAGTAAACAATGTAAATTACTAACATAGTTTATAAGTCTGTTACTAATTATATATGGATTCAGGTCCGAAATAAATGCTTATTATTATTATAACAAATAACTGTTTTAATTGAAAAGTCACATTACAAATTTAGAAACTACTTACGTGTTAAATTTTCACATCGTGTGTACTCAACCCCAAAACTTTACAACAATATTTTGTTTCACGTAGTAAGGGAATGCGGCGAATGTTTGAGATGCCCAAGCGTGACAAATAGTATTAGATATGGTGGCTGTAGAAGATTAAAAACAATAAGCGAAGATTGTTTTCAACAACAATTGCTTGATGGGCTAAATATTACTCAGGTCCCATTGTCACCATGACCGTAAAAATACATTTAAATAATACGCGGAAAAAAATTACGCACAACGTCGTAACGATAAACACAGGCAAGTTTCTCTTTTAGAGCGGCTACACACACACGGTGACGTTTAGCAGCGATGCACGAGTTAAATTCATTAACTAATTTATTTAATGTATGTTTTAATTTCTCTTTTAAATTTACAATTAATAAAATAATGTGCATTTTTAAAAATAATATTAAGTGACGGTACGAACAAATCGTGCGCCTGAAGGTAAACTACACGCCTATTCATAATAGTTGCAGTGCCACTCAGAGCTTTAAATGGCAAAAATCTGAGGGGCACTTGGCACTGCGCAGTTGCCTGCGCCCCGCCCGTCACCCTGAGACATAAGTTGCCAAGTCCCATGTGCCAGTAATTTCACCAGCACCCTTACTTACCCTTCGAAACCGGAACACAGTAATGCTGACATTACTGGCGGTAGCAACAGGTAAGATGACAGTACTACCCTAGATGAACTCTTTCACAGGGAGCGCTTCTGCTACTAAATTGTATAAAAATGTAGGGCGTGAACCTATATAGTTTTTTCGTATATAATTATTTAACATGAGATATAATACGATATCGGTGTAGCGATGTCATCGCGCATTTCACGAACGCATCGCTGCTAAAACTCTCCCTGTGTAACCACTCTTACGAACAATATTGACAACTAATATAGCAGCAGTAGATGGTGCTCCTTGTGAAAGAGTTCACCTAGGGCTGCACTCTACCTTCCTTGTCATAACTAACGTAACCGACACTTTTAGCGAAATTCGGTAATTTACATAGGAATCTGATAGACAAATCATGCACAAATTTAAATGCAAGTCCAGTGGGCCTACCATGAGCTCATAGAGCAATCCTATTTAAGCCTGTAAATTGGATAGCCTGTCATATTCGTACTATAACCTCAAAACCAATTCACTGTCCATGCCAATGATATCATACAGTCATTTTGACATAATAAGTTTACATTAGAAAAAAGAGACAATTATATTTTTCTTTGAAATTTCAATCAGTTTCAAAGCTAGTCTTTAAATTTGCAATATGGTCCCACATTTTAGACAACTGTTTGTATGACATTGCGTCACTAGTACACTGTTGGGCGTTAATCAATTAAATTTCAATCAGAAATACAATCAGATTAATAAATCAATTCAATTGAAATCAATTGCGACAGTCGCAATTGATTTCAATTGAATTGATTTTAATTGTAATTAAATTTTAATGCCAATGTCGTAAACGTACATAATAGGACAAGATTTTTCTATTGACATAGAACTTAGAGGATGGAAAAAAAATAAAGGAAAACGTTAATTGTTTTAAAAGTTTCATAGCTGCCCATCGTTGCTTGTGTTGTTGGATAATTATAACTTCGTGGCACTTTATATTCATGAATTGAACATTTGTATAATAGGAAATGAAACTATTTTTCCGGATTTAAATCGCGTATATTTGTTTTTTTAAATTCTTTTTGACCATAGTCAACCGTGACCATGTAAAGGGCTCGAAACTTGGATTTGAAAAAACAAATATACGCGAATTAAATCCGGAAAAATAGTTTCATTTCCTATGTGTAACAGTCGCGAAAACCTAAGAACTCGCTAATCTTGTAATATTTGAGAGAGCAAACATTTTTTTTTCAACAGGAATTATGTAATATATTTTTCAACACATTTGCTCGTAACGGGCTTCTTATTGTATCGCTTTTAGGCTCATAAACCTAGCTATTGAACACGCGTTTGTAATTATATTACAAAACGTGTGTGTAATAAGTATAGGCTTAACCGGATTAAGATGTATCTCACAACAAGGCCTATGTATTAAAACTATGCATTCTTAAATTATCCGGGTTATGTCTTTGAAATTAACTTGGTCTATTAAAAAAACAGCTCTAACCTACATATTATAAGATTCAAATTACAATGACAGTAATCCCAAACAAACAGGGTCACAGTTTTTTTTTTATTTCTGTTTAATACGGTTGTGTAGTCTTACCTTACAAATAATATTTTTATTAATAAATTTATATTTCTTATTTGATGTGATAAATATAGAAAAACATACACAATATACACCTATAAAACTTTAATTGAATAAAATTACTTATTTTGGATAATATTTTACACGAATTTGAGTGAAATAAGGACATATTTATATTATTTCGCATTGGCTGTTTAGGAATTTCACCTAAGTCTCATTATTGCCGAAGCACCTGCGCGCGCATATCCGCGCCGCGGCGCCAGGCGCAGAAAAAATAACTCTGCGCGCCAATTTCCATTGATACGTTCGAAACATTTATATACGCTGTGTGTTAGATAATTACCTAGGTGTTTAAAATGTCCTGCTCAAGCACGGAAGAAAACATTTTGATGGATTTAACACCGCCCGAAATCCTCACAGAGGCACAAAACGCAAGTGACAGTTTATTACCTTCGAAATCCAGAGAAAAGTGCATGGCTGCATATGAAACTTTTAATTAATGCCAAATAAAGCTATTTTTCATTTCCATTTTACTCAAGTTTGTTTCATTTTCCTCGCAAATGTGTTGAAAAACGTCGTATGAAACACGTGTGCTTTGATCATTACACTCTTGGCTTTCTTATCGCGCTCGCCTGCGGCTCGCGCGAGTAATAACGCCTCGTGTGTAATGACCAACTTAGCACACTTGTATCATAATGTACTATTAAATAACATGTCATAATTTACGTTCCCTTACGCTCTCTACGCAACTTCTTATTAGCTAAGAGCTTTAAGAAATGTTATTTGGACTCACCGAGTTTATAACCATAGAAGTTTATAAACATAGAAGGGAGAATAGAAATGGGTCTGAGTTACCAGGATAATGTGATTCCGTTTGTTTTTAACCGACTTCAAAAAAAGGAGGAGGTTCTCAATTCGACTGTATGTTTAATTTGTTTTGTAC